ATTTTTATCCCGACACCTTGACCTTGCAGTCTGACCTACTTTCAAAAAATTAACTTTAGTTATAACTTTTTGATGGGCAGATTTTCGGGCTTTCACATGTATATTACCCTGTGACAAGACCTTTCTAAATACAACATGATTTTTTGCCCCGTGACCTTCACCTTATATTTGATCTACATTGTACTTTTCAAAAATGTTTCTCCTTATAACTTTTAGATAGAGAAGAGATACGGCTTTCATGCTTGACATGTGCATTACCTGTGACAAGATATTAACGTGCATGCCATGATTATTTAACCCTTGACCTTCATTTTTAACCTAATTTTAAAACAAGAGGCCCGGATGCATCACCTGGCAATGGCTAGGAAAAAGCACATACCAGATCAGCATAAGTTACTGAGGTTGGGGGGAGGGGCGGCTTTAAATTTTTAAACCCCCCAGGGGTCATGATTGAACAAACTAGAAATTCATACCTGAAGATGATTCCTATAAAAAAACACTAAGCATGGCTTTGAAGTACTTGAAAAGAAGTTTTAAAGATTTTTCTTATATACTCTTAAGTAAAACTTTGATAGCCATTTTGGCCCCACCCTACCCCCAGAGTCATGATTTGAACAAACTTGAACTACACACCTGAGGATGATTAATGAGTTTCATCTTTCCTGGCCCAGTGGTTCTTAGAAGATTTTTTAAAAATTTTTCCCATATTTATATGTAAAACTTTGAATGGCCATTTTTGGGCCCCCCCCTACCCCGGGGGGCAGATTTAATAAACTTAATCTACACACCAGAGGATGATTCCACATGAGTTTCACTTTTTGGCCCAGTGGTTTTTAGAAGAAGATTTTTTAAAGATTGTTCCTATATATTCCTATGTAAAACTTTGATCGGATTTTGGCCCCACCCTACCCCTGGGGGTCATGATTTATAAATTTGAATCTACACACCAAGATATTAACTTGGGTTTATTTTTCCTGGCCCAGTGGTTTTTAGAAATTTTTAAATATTGTTCCTATATAACCAAAAAATTTATCGGCCTTTTTGGGGCCACCCTACCCCCAGGGGTCTTTTTCACAAATTTAATAAACTACCAGGATGATTTCACAAGTTTCATCTTTCCTGGGCCAGTGGTTCTTGAAAGAAGTTTTTTTTTTAAAATGCCATTAATTTTCTCTAATTCATAATTCCCCCCTTGTAAAAGGGCGTGGCCCTTCTTTTGAACAAACTTGAACCCCCTTTTACCCAAGGATGTTTGTGGCAAGTTTGGTTAAAATTGGGCCCCAGGGGTTTTTGAAAGAAGTCGAAAATGTGAAAAGTTTACAAAAAACAGACGAGGGAAAAAAAATTTATAGAAAAGCTCATTTAGCCTTGGCTAGGAGCTAAAAAGTCAACTTTTGGATACATAACGGTGTTCGAAATACCGATCTTCTTTTTATCGGTGACAGGATTTCTGGCATGGTCGGGAGGAGGGTTCGGTCCCTATGGTCATTATGCACCTTACGGGATAGAAAGTTAAGATTCAAAATCCTTGTAAAGAATCGTAATCTATTTTGACATACCCAGCTTCATCTCTACCGTTTTGCCGGACATAAATGGCGAATGATTGATGTGAATGTGATGTGCCACATATATCAGGATTTAGTTTTAAGGTTCGGTACCCTGATCTTGATAAGGTGAAGAACATTATTTATTTAATTGATACATACATTTATGTTTTTCTCATTTGTATAAATCATTTAATTATTATTTACATGTGTTATCGAAATTAAGTTTTTTGCGAATAAGAGACAAGTCAAAGGGAGGAAACCCTTTCTACAGTTTTGATTCGCAAAACTTATACATTTGCACATATGGCAGAAACGTTAAATAAGACAAAGTACTCATTAAAGCAGTTGTATTCAAGTTAAATAATTTCAGAAATTTTGAACTAATCGATTTATTTTTGTGATACTTCTAATTATAAAAAAAAACTGTCTAAAAAAATTTTGGTGATCATTTTTGGACAAAATGTCAATTTATATGTGAAGAGGTTTAAAAATTAAATCGTCTAGTATATGACTAAGTTGTTGTTATGTTGTTTTATTTAATTTTTTTTAACAATTTTGATGTATTGTTAAGAAAAAAAAATTGGTGAAAAAAAATTTGGAGAATATTTACAAACATAAATAACATAGATATGCCTTTAAATACAATTTTTCATTATAACACATTTTTATTTTTTTTTCTTTTAAATAGTGCAAGATTTTACCAGAAATTCGGAAAAGGCCATAGCAATCTATCTAACTTTTCTTCACAAAAAACTTATTTTTTGAATAGCAGAACGATATTATTTTTCAATAATTTTATTTCGAGAAACGATTACATACTCCCTCGCAAATTCATCTATAAGCCTTTTCAAGTTTTGCACATCTCCCAACATCCAATCCATTAACTTACACAAGTAGCGCAAACGTTTAGTCAAACTACATGCATGTGACATTATGTATACGCGAACACAATCCGAAGCATGAATGTTACAATTTCGAATTGCCTCTGCTTTCCCTGTTCAGTGTTGTGTGTGATCAAAATTTTCAGTAAAAAATGAAAATGAGACTTTGGGATTTTTTCATCATTTATTTTGAGATTATATGAATTTATTCAGAGTGCATAGCGTTATGTATGTACTACAAAAAATACACAAAAGATAATATTTTAATGGAAGTGATCATTTGTTTCTATGACAATCCATAAAATTTATGCAAGAACCCGTGTATTGTTGTCAGAGTCCGTCATATACATGATATATGAACTTCCGATAAGATCTTCAGGCAGGAAGAAAATTTGTAGGCCGTCTTTTTCCTTCTTTACGCTCAATCACTTGGCTGTATATGCTATATTTTAATCTCATTTTTGACCACAGCTTTTTGGATTTTGGTGCTGGTTGATTATATTTCCGTTGCGGTCATCTGTAACGAAAAAAAAACATAAAAAGTTAGGGTTTTCTTCTTTGGAACTTCATATTAGTATAATTTTCACTGAATTTATTTTAAATGAAAATCAATGAGGCTATTTTTCCAGCTACTGTTGATAGTAAAAATGTATAATTTCATAAACAGTGTATATTCTGTAACATGCAATGTATGTGAATTTAAACGTGTAATTATATAATGAAATTATAAGCCGCATCATAAAATCAGTATGTAGGACTTCAAATTCTATTAAAACCTCGAAACAACACAGTACACGTGTACTAAATAGTGACTATAAATACATGTACCTCAGTCATCTTGTTAGGGTGAAATCCTCCTCGTCTTCAGAGTCCGACACAAGAAATTCTATGTCCTCCCCAAATAGTTCCTGGCGGAGCCGCACATTTCTCTCCCCTTGACTTTGGAGAACTTGTAATAGATGTCTCTCATCGCTTCCGTCACAGCCATGCGCAGTCTCAAAGAATATCGAAAACACTTCTGCCCAGCCTCTCGTGCCAAAAAGTACCTAATACATAAATTTGATATCGATAATAAATAATATCAGACATCTATAGACATGCATGACATCTTCCAAGAAATGTTTGTACGACGGCTCGCAAGTTATATGCATAATATTGAAATTGATCCGTCATCGGCAATTATCATTAAAAAAAATGCGCTCGTGGCATCTCGAGTATAAATGGCGTTTTAAACACATTTGTCAGCATTTAGAAATGTTTTATTTCAATGTCTAAACAACGACTACGTGAAAAAAATATATAAATTACTATAAAATTAATCTTACAAAAAATAGAATTATACCTCTTCTGAAGCTGAAGCAACTGCAGCTCAAGGGAGACAATCTGGTCGTTCGATTTCTCGAAGTAGCACTCGGCTTTATTAAGATTTTCTAGATCCATGTATCGCTTGCAGGACAGTATGACGGCCATACTTCACACTGACAGATTAAAGATCTCAAAATGACACGGAATGATCATTCGTCGGTCGTTTATAAAGTGTCAGCTTGAGCATAATGGAAAATTAGTAAACTTTCTGAGTAATATAATAACTCTTTATTGAGTTAATAACCTTAATTAGCGTGGTCTGGCGGTCTTTATGCAGAGAAGGTACTTATTTTGTACTAAGAATACACTCGATTGTTGCTTATTATGAACGAAATTATACATTTGTATGTTTTGATTGTAAAATTTAAAAAAAGAATGAAATATTTTAAAAAGTTGAATATTTTTCAGTTGCATTTTTAAAAAAAAACCTAGGTGATGTATAAAAGAATGTTTCTTATACACGAAACCATTTTATTATTTCAAGTAAACAGAGAATTTAGAAGAAATTGTTAATTTAGCAAAACAAAAACAGTCAAACACTTAATTATAGAATTATTGTTTTCATGAGCAGCATCATGAGTAAATTCATTTTTTATAACCCCGCTTGAAAAGCAGGAGGGTAGCTTTATAGTAATCGGTATGTCCGTCCGTCTGTTACGCTTTGGGGCACCCATCTCTTATCCGCAACTCCTCTTATACCACTGAATGAAATTTAATGATACTTTGCACCTCCTATTTTACATTTTGAACCGACACATGTGTTGGGTTTCTCATAGCAAAACATCATTTAATGATCTCATTGCTCACAGTACCTCTAGTTTTTCGAGTGAAGACTGCCAGTGAGATGAAAAAAGAGATCTGATGTTGATTCATAAAAAAACTTGACCAGATCTTAATCTTGGATACCAATGTTTGGGGGGGGGGGGGTTCCAACATATGTTTTTTTTCTTTGAAAATCTGATGGGGGAGGGGTAAGGTTAATTCTTTTCGTTCCACTTATAAAGGTGGCGTCTAAACTACGGACTAATTTTGATATCTTCCATTATATACTACGTTATACGAACTGCACTTAATATCTACACAAGTTGTACGTTAAAAGCAAAATATGACACGATTTAGTAGTACCTAGTGCATTTTACACATCTGTAAAATCTATTTAGGTCTTTTTTTCGATTGTTCAAAGTTACTGGAATAAAAAACACAAATGTCAAGGTCAAACAATTTATTCTAAAACTTTCAGATAATATTTCATTCTTACAGCGAATGAGCCTACATTTTTGTGTTTGTGTTTTTATCATGGGTTTGCAAATTATTAACAACACCATTAGCGTGATCTTCTTTCTGACTTTCGTCTTTCAAACATTTCTTGTCCATTTCCTCTAGGTCTTGACGAGATAGATGATCGACGATGCCCGCACCAAAGGAGTCTCCCAGTACATTCACTGCAGTCCGAAAACGATCTCTGAAATATTAGGTATTAAGTACAATCATATATCAATGCAAAAAGTTCGTGTGATTAATAGAAATTGTAGTATTCTAATTTAATCACCAAAAACATATATTATTCTATTTTTTTCTTTTTCAAAATAAATATATTTTTGTTTGAGACAACCTCATGATACACTGTATAACATATATAATATAATTGTTAAATATGATGGAAGTAATAATATGCCAGTACGATGTAAACAATATTTATAATCATCAACAGAGTCGGGGGAGATAATGACAATATTTTATAAAGCAAGCATATACAAAACCATTAAAATGTGGACTTACAAAAACCAGTCAAGTGCAAGAACTAGTCTCACTTCCTCCACAGGAAGTCCGACCGCAGACAAAACTATCGCCATGGTAACGAGCCCCGCTGACGGAACTCCTGCAGCCCCAATAGCTGCCGCTGTGGCCGTCAGACTATGGAAAGATTACGCTAAATGAGAACTTTCATTTTATTTTACAAATTTGGTATACTAG